ACAGCACTGAGCCCAGCTGCACTGCTTGGAGCCATGTGGATCCAGGAGGGAGGAGGAAAGCCATGCTCCAGTGTGCTCCCTGCAGAGCATCCCACAAAAATCACACAAGGCAATGCTCCTGCTCCCTTCTCCTGCCTGAATACAGCACCACAGAGAGGGTGATCCTGTGGATATTGATTAATGAGGCGACTCAAGAAATCCCTCAGTCACTGACCAGGGGTCCTTCAATGCAGTGGAAGGGATCAGCAGGGTCAGACCGCTGTGTCCATGGCAGGATCATTGCTGTGGGCTGGTTTTTTTTTTTGACTTATCAAAGACCCTCTGGAGGGACTGCACGGAGGGACCTCATGGAGCAGGGCCTCCAGCACCTCCCCAACAAGAAGTAGATGAAGGGTTTGATGCTGCTGTTGATGCAGGCGAGCAGGAAAAAAACCTCTGAAGACACAACGATGTAACTGAGCTGCTGCAGGAAATCGCAAAGGCTGAGGAGAAAAGTGAAGAGCACAGTGATGAGGATAACGATGTCGCCCCTTTTGGGCTGCTGCTGCTGGGAGCCCCACTTGGCATTAATGAAACCAACTGTGCTGGAAATGACCACGGGTGCAACAAAGAGGAGCAGGATGATGGTGTATATGGAGATGAAAGCAGCCTGGCAGTGCTCGTGTGGTGAGCACAGGAATGTTACTGTGGGAATGACAGTGAAGAGAGCAAAGAAGGCCCAGTCTTGGACAGAGGTTTCCACACACATCAGGCGCCTGGGAACGTTCCAGTCGCAACAGAGCTCACGGAGGTTGTCTGTAAGACTGAAAATGCTTCTTGGCATCAGCCTGACCATCCCCCAGTCGTAAGAAACCACTGGGAGCTGAAAAAGGAAATTCAGGTACATCAGGGGCAAGATAGGAGAGCAGGACACGTCCTCCACCAGTAGGAGGAGAGCGGAGGGGACCGCAAAGAGGAGGAAGAGGAAGTCAATGATAGCCAGGTCAAAGATGCCATCGTTCCTGCTTTTCAGGCTGAGGAGGCCAATGACAGCCCCGTTCTCAGCCAGCCCACAGAGGCAGATGAGCAGTGTCACACTGTGTATGGCTACGCTGGTGACATCTGTCTCACACAGATCATCCACTTCTGTGGGTGAGGCAGGAGATGGGGACACGGTGATCACCTCCGTGGATGGATGCTGGGCAGGCAGTGGGATGTGGTCCTGGCTGTGGTCAGAGTGGATGGGCAGTCAGTGCTTGGAGAATGCAGGGATGGACCATGTGGCTCCTCAGCAGGTCCCTGCAGTGGGAAGGATTCAGTGGGGAGGAGTGAGATGTGCATCGGAGGAGGGCAATGGGAATGGTGGGGTGTGAGAGGGAAGTGGGAGGGCTGGGCTGTTTGGCAGGGGATGTGGAAGGGAAGCACAGAGGAGAGGAGATGGGAGCTGGGAGGGCACTGCAGTCACCAGGAGAGGGTGGCAGGAACAGAGCAGCTGCTGCAGGAGAGGAAGGTGGGGTAGGGAGGAAGGCAAAAATTGCACTGACCTGTTCCCTGTGGGGCAGCAGCAGGCAAAGGGGTCTGTGCAGATCAGCGGCGCTTCCTGGTCCCTCTTGCTCCTTTGGGATCCATGTCCTAAAGCGGCTCCTCCCAGGTCAGGGACATGAAGGAGAAAGTGCCCAGGTCACCAGGAGCTCCCCATTCCNAGCCCGGTGGGAAGGCATCCCAGGGGAGCTGGAATGAGGAGAGCCACGACAACTGGAGCCAGTGTGACAGCAGGCAGTGGAGCAAAGTGCCTGTCCCACTGCTGCTGCTGCTGCTGTGCCTGTGTGGGATGGTGGGAATGGGGCTGTGCTCTGGCTCCTTGGTACACAGCAGTGCCCACCCTCTGATTTACTTCTTGGCTGGGAGCTGTGCAAAGGAACTCACTCCCTCTGTTAGTGTTGCCTTCCAGAGGGCTTTTGAGGCTTTAGTGCCCGAGGCAGGGAATAGGGACAGCACAAGAGGATCATCTTCAAGTGGAATCATCATGAAAGAGAGGCATCATAAAATAAAACCGTAAATTATCCAGAGTTGGAAGGGAGCCACAAAGATCATTGAATTCAGTTCCTGGCCCTGCTCAGGACATCCCAGCAATCCCAGCCTGTGCCTGAGAGCATTGTCCAAATGCTCCTTGAGCTCTGTCAGGCTGGTGCTGTGTGCAGCAGGGGAACTTCTGCCTGGGCTGGATGCTCGATGATGTCATGAGGAATCCTGATGGAATGGTTTGGGTTGGAAGGAAACGTAGAAATAATCTACTTGCAAGACTTCATTTGTGGGAAGGGGCACCCAAGAAACCTCTTGCTTTGAAATCTCTGCTTTGATTATTTTCTATTCAACAGGCCTGAGCTTTCTCTGTCTCAGAAATGGGCTTCCCCACCCTATGGAACATTAAAATTGTGTGACCCCAGCTGACAGCTTTTCCCATTGGTTTTTCTTGGTTTGTTTGCTTCAAACCTAAAAGTAGATAGATAAAAAAATCTCGGCACAGCAGTGCAGAACAATTCCTTGTTGAATCCTATTCATCTGCAGCAGCTCCTGACACATGGGAATACATTGTGGAGGCTTCACTCTGAGCGTTGTTGCAGAGGTGAGTGAGGAAGTATTTGGCATGGCCCCTGGAAGGCTTTCTCCAGCAAGCATTCAAGATCTGGGGCTGTGGGCTATCTTGTGAGATGGAGAAGTTTGGTCTTTAACAATCCTACCCACCAAAACCTATGCAAGGTTCCATGGAAAAGGAAGCTCAAGTAGGGAGAGGCCTGGATGACACTGTACACAAGGAAGGTGCTTGGAAGTAGAAAAAGTACATTGGAGGATCATGATCCTTCTGCTCTTGCTGTGGGAGAAACCCCTTGGCTGAGTTGTTCTTCCCTAGACAAGAGGTTCCACCATGAAAAGTTTTGTCTTTCCAATGGGCAGGAAAACAAGAGTGAAGGAGAGAAAAACCCTCTCAGATGTCAAAGGCTGTCTTTCCTGTAAATTATTAACAACTCTGTAATAAATGCTCCTTAGCTGTTTAACCTCATGGTTGTCTCAAATCCTGACTCACCACCCACGGCTTTCACTCTCACTTCCCTTTCCAGAAGCAGTGGCATGTTGGTTTCCCCTGGATTTTAGGCGGTGGAAAAGGAGGGACAACTTTCCCCCTGAGCAAGAGATGTGGCTGCTGCCCAGGTCTGTGCCAGGAGGAATCAGGAGCTCTTAGCGCTGCCAACATCATCCCAAGCATTGCAGGCACGTGCCTTAGGAAGGGCTCTGGTATGGGACAGGAAACTGCCCTGCTCCCAGACCAGCCAGAGGCTTTAGAATGGGATAAAAGAAGGAAAAGAGCCATTTTGGAAAATGTTTAACAGGGACAGACCGTGCAGTGAAGTCTGGATTTTGTTTATTCAACAAATTTTTGGTCCGATACTACCCCGATGGAGGCAAACAGAAACCATGAATGCAAATCTGATTGAGGGGTACTTATACAACTACAAAGATAACGACAGGCTGGGCTCTGGCTGGAGCTGCTGTGCAGAGTGGCTGTGCAGCTCCTCTGAGGGTGGCCAGGTTCAGGATGGAGGTGCTCAAGGGCTTCCCTGGACACTGATGCTGGGGAACCAGAGGATGGATGGCCCCATTCTGCAGAAGAGCAGCATAACCCCCTAATCTCTGGGCAATTCAATGGTCCAAGCAACTTGTGAAGGGAATTTCCATATACCAGGTACATTCTCATGCAGGCATAGAAGTTCAGTGGCATTCACTATCGA